ACTGCTTTCCTGAGCGTTCGACGGGCATTGAAATTGTCACGGACTCTATGCAGCAGATCAGGATTCTGAGGGTAACCGACGGGGCTTGGCAAAGGTTCAGTTAGCCATGGATGATCGAGTGCTTGACGGGCAGTCATACGACGCGCCGGATCAACGGTCAACAATTTATCAATAAAGTCTTTCGCTGAAATAACCAAAAATAATAATTGATAACAAGTTACAATACGCATAGTGTTAGCAAATTATATGACGATCACGGGTTTACCTGTATCCGTTATTCCTCTCCAGTACTCAGGAGGCTCGTATTTATAATCGGCTCGAAGGATGGCTTTCATTTCTTCTAGCTCGTGTTCCCTGTCAAAGGGAGTGTAACCGCACAACAAAAAGTAGGTGATGACACCGATAGCCCACATATCAACTGGCTTTCCGTGTCCATCTTTTTTGATAATTTCAGGTGCCTATAAAATAAACAAATAAACGTATTAACTTCCATTATTATTCCGGCCAACTTCGTCAGGTGAGATTGTTCATCCTCGAGTTACCATGTAACCAGGAGTGCCACATGTGGTAGTAAGAATGTGAAATGTCTCGGAATCAATAATTCTAGACAACCCAAAGTCGGCAATAAGAAGGTCAGAATTTTCGTCGCTCGTTTTGAAGAGAAGATTCTCTGGCTATAAACAAATAGGCAATCACTCGGATGATATAATTTACCAAGTAAAAAACTTTATAATGTTTGGGTTAAATGTTTCACCTTAAGATCTAGAATTCCGGAATCAGTCAGCAATCAAAGCATTAAAAAAAAAAAAAAGATGACTAAATAGTAATGAACTAGAGATTTCCAGTCCGGCGTGAAACCTCACCTCTATGAACAATTCCATTTTCATGGAGATAAGCGACAGCCTCTGTTACGCTTCTTACAAGATGAGCTGCGTCACGCTCGTTATAATTGCCCTTGGCACAAATACGGTCAAAAAGTTCGCCTCCACGTGCCATTTCTGTTACCAAATATACTTTTTTTTTTTTTTTTTTTGGTTATAAGATTAATCATAAACTAACAACACATCTTGCAAAAAAGGCAACAAATCTCAATTACTATGGTTGACCCATAATTATATAATTATAAGAATACGTACGATTATTTAATGTTTCAAAATAATCATGCAATGTCAAAATGTTCTTATGACCCTGTGAGACCTTTTTCAATATTGTAATCTCATTACGAACCATGTGCTCTCTACCTTCCATCAGTTTTTTGTTGATCACTTTTACTGCAAAAAATTCACCAGTTTTGATCTATCGAGTAGGCCGTAATATGTTTAATTAGAGTCGGACATCATGCATATACACAGTTAGATATGAGGATAGAAAAGATATTTACATGTTGGGCCTCTGCATTTTATTCACGAGCAAATCAATAGAAATAGTTCAAATTATTGGAAATTCAAGCAACATATGGATACAGTAGAAACCACCCTTAACGTTTGAAAGCGTACCTTTAACCACAGCATATGTACCATGCCCGAGGGTCTTACCAGTCCTATACTAATTGTTCGAAAGCCCATGAAGGAAAGACAGGATAAGTGAACATTTGCATAATTTAAAAGTTTGAACCCCGTCACTCGAATATACTCACCTGGCAAGGCACGGTGGAAGCGTTCGACATTTACGATACAATAGGTAAATAGAGAGAGGAATATTTCTTTGTCTGGTGTTCAAAAATCACAATGGATATAGTGAGAAATAGGTTACACGTTTACGTTGACATGAATTTGTGACATGCAACAAAATCAGCTTGCCGGATCAGGAAGTGAGAGGCTGCAGTGTAAACAGTATTACGAAAACCGATTAACTATTAATCTGGTCTGACTTTTCAGAATCACGGGGATGTAGTGAATAGGAATTGTCAAGTGATAATGATCTACGTATATGCGCGTCAAAATTCTACATAGCTTAAATTGGCTTGTTTCTTATATTCCAATAAAATTTTATATCACTTAAAAATATAAAATTAAATTAAAATAATTAATAATATAGATTTATTCTTTATTAAAGTATTTATTCAAGAATTTCATATTATAATAAAAATTTAAAAAAAATTTTTTAATGTATAAAAAAGTTTTACAATATATTATATATAATAAAATTATATATTATTAATTTTTTCTAAACTAAATAAATATCATTTACTAAAAAAAAATATTTAATGTTAGATATTTTGATATGTAAAATTATTTGTTTTTATTAATTAATAATTGATAATAGGTTAAAAAAAAAAAAAAATACAAATTTTAAAATAATATTTTTTTTTTAACCTATAATCAATTTAGCATAATACAGTATATCTTTATTGTATATATGCTAGATATTTACAAAATATTATGATTTTTATATACTAACTTACCTATTATCAAAAAATTATTTTTTTAAATGCAACTTAAGGAATGATATTTTGTTCCTTTACTAATTTGTTTAAGTTTTGAAATTAATAAAATCATCACTTATAGATAAAGATATGTTTTTAAAGAGGAATATAAGAATAAAAATCAAATTTTTCTTATTAGAAAACAAGTTTTAAAAAAGGAACACCACAGAATATGATCGTTACTGCGCCAGTGACACGTCTAATTCCTACCTGTTATAATTTTTCTTGCATCTCGGAAAACAGATAATAAAAAATTTAACATATTGTATATATGCGACGCGAAGACGTCTTAGACGTCTTGAACCTTT